GAAATGGCTTTTTGTGCTTTAATTCTCCTCTTTTGCGCTATTTGTTTTGAATTTCGATATATTGTCGCATTAATTTTTTTGGAGCAGAAAAGCATATTGCTAGAAACCGTTCGAGTTTTCTAACCCCTTTAATTCCGATTTCTTAGGTGAAGTTACCGTATATAGTATCTGGCATAGATGGGCAGATAAAAGGTGCAATGCAAACGAGTTTTTTTTTGAGTACGATAGGCACGAAATGTATGTCCGTGGGGACTGCTGCCCGCTACAACGACGACGTCACGAGAATCGAGGAAATTCGTGAGCCAGGGAGAGTGTAGCCAATCTAGGGGGTGAGGGGTGAGGGCAGTTAATTAACATGAACAGTTGGAAGTGTGGATTGTTTCCATAGCGTCTCGTCATAGCATGGACATCCGTCCCTACGTACATACATTTGCGCCCATCGTAATCAAGAGGTTGGCTTGCCCATCCCACTAGCATTGAACCAAATGAAAACGTTTATCAGAATTTCTGAGATGTTCATCTTGAGGGGTTTGCACTGTTTCCTAGACATAACCACCTTTGATCAACTAAGCAAAGGTCCATGTTGTAGTGGTAGCGTTGAAGTACGAAGCACTTTTCAATAAGGCAGAAACGACAACTTATAAAATGTGTCGGAAAGGGTAAAAATCTATCACAGCGTTGCTAGAGGAGAGACGTGTTATTGGTAAAGCCCCAGGTGATAATTGTTTCCGTTTCTAAATGCTGGACAAGATTGTGCTATGACAGTCAGGTTCCTAGAACACAAGCACTATTTCCACATTAACACAACGCGTGGTTTGGCTTTTTTGCCACAAGAGTCAGGCGCGGTATTTTGAGCCCGGCTGTCTTGCCTCACCTTTGTATTAAACACGAGTACAGACAACAAGTGATGACGGCCTACAAGTAAATCTGATAACAGTGGTTCATAGTGGTAGCTGACAGTTGTAATTAGTGACAGCTGGTAGAATACAAGTGCAACCGGCTAATCTTTTCCTGGGCAGAGAACTACAACATTTTCTTTGCCGACAGTCGTAACTTTCATTGTGAGTCTGCAGTGGGCACGCACCTGGCTGCTGAATACAAAAGGGTTCTTGATTTTGAACGATGAATACAGAAAACATAGATGGCACTGAATCATTTTTGCGATGGCTAAATTTCGCAGGTGCTGCGTCCTTTCATGTCATCATGGAACCGTGTTTTGTCGCGACA